TAAATATGGGTAATAATATGAATTATAAATAGAATTAATAATAAATTAAATTAATTAATATAAATTACTTATTCGCCTGATTTAGTAGTAATCGGCGATTACTGCGCCACGTGCTGCGGCTGCACCATATGCTGCGCCACGTCTACTGCACCACACGAATAAGCTAATTGGTTACAATATGTTATAATTTGAGCATGTGCTAATCATGCATATATAAAAAATCAAAAATGTATTTTCCAAAAACTAAAAACATATTTGATTACTTTATAATGAACTTGAAATAGATTTCACAACTTTAATGCCTGATCAAAAGTATGTTATTCTTTTTAATATTAATTAATCACTCGTAATCCTGCTATCTAAGTTTAATAATGAGTGGTGGCCTCTGGTTACAAATATATAGACTACATTCAACTACAAATATCATATTAATGATAATTCATAAAAGACTTATATTTATTATTTCAACAAATATAAGCAATCAAGCACTTAAAAAGAAGGAATATCAAGTGAGAAATGTTGAAAATCAATAATTTGGCCAGCAAATTTATACTTTATAAAAATCAAAGTGACTCAATTTGTCACTGAATAAAAAATACAAGTTAAATGATATTATGATTTTCCTAACCACACACATACTTTGAAAGATAGTGAAAGACTAAAATGATCATAGGCTATTTGTATCTTAGTTAAAAATAAAGCTATTAAGAATTATTCATCACCAGAAATTGTGCATGTTATTAAAGAATATGCAACTGAAAAATTGGATCTCGAATCTAGTATCAAAGAACTAAGATGAACAGAGGTTGCTAATATAAAATATAAGACTAATCAAAATCAATTCTCCTATTTTATTGGTAGTATTAATCTAGAGTCCAATATAAATAAAGTAATTTCTTTACTAGCAAATAAAAAATATTTAATTAAATATTATCAAACTATTTAATAGTCTACTCAAGGCTTTATCTTTGTAAATCTAGATCAACTTCAAAAACTTTAAAAATATGGGTGGCTAATACTTATTGATTCAACCCATAAAATCAATAAATATGATTGGCATTTATTTACACTGTATATTCATGATAAATATGAATGTTAGGATATGGGAGAACATTTTTTTGTAAGTAACAAAACTAGTAATATGATAGCAGAAGTCTTAATAATAATTTAATAACTTGCTTCTGCTGGAAGTCTCAGTACTTTCTTACAGACCAAAGTAATGTGAAGGTCAACAGCATTAAAATCACATTTCCAGGTATTCAAAAAGGTAAACAAGAGTGTGACATTCTCTTTTGCACTATCTATATTATACAAACTTTGATAGACAAGATCTATCATGTAAAAATATGAGATAAAATAAATCAAGCAATGCATAAATTAACAAAAATTGCTTGTGAGAAGTCTATCTAATAAGTGATAAATAACTGTCTGATTCCTATTATTCAGTAGTACATCCTAAGAAACTATACGCAAAATACATACCAGTAGACTCTTTGAGCTCATCAATACTCTTCTCTTCTTTTACAGGTAATTTTAACAAATGTCTTGGAGTCCTACCATAGTGAATTGAAACAAAGAATCTCTCTGCATCATGATCTAGTTGGTAAAGTATAATTTTTTTATACTCTGATATTTGTATGCTATTTATCACTAATTCTAATAATTCTAATGATTTTTATTAGATATTTACCATCACGTTATTTTACTTGATAAAAAGAAGCATTTAGATTCTGAGTATACTATCTTTAGATTTCATACTATAAAGATTTCTATTGATAATATTAACTGTAAAATTCTTGATAAAATTCACAAGTTTCCTTTTCCAATCTAACAAATAATCATTAGTGAGGTCTGTATCATCAAAAAGAGGATAGAACATGACAAAGTGGTACCTGGTCTAATATTGCTCAAATATTATTGCCTATTCTTCCATAAGTATCACTTGCCCTGTCAACATATCTTTCATAAGCATATGTATGGAGCTAGAAAATTATTAACAACCGGTACTTGGGAAGATTTCTAGCAAATGTTTGAAGGATGTGAATTTGAGATATATAAGCATCATAACTTGAAAGAGATGGTGGCATCTGACAAAACTGAATGTGAGAGAGTTGCTGAAGATTGATAACAGACTGTAAATGAATTGATAGAAAGAATGAAAGATGCATACTGGCAAGTTGAGGAGGGGGAAAATATCAAACAAATAATTTTATTTATGAAAAAATTGAAAGTTAGTTTGGAGTTAGTTTTAAATTAATTTATGTTTTTATTATTTACGCAAAATAATATTAAGTGATTTTTTTAAAATAATATATTAATTTCCATAATTATTATTTAAGTATAATAATTTAAGTGATTTTTAAATGAATAATAATACATTAATTTGTTTAATTATTTGAGTATAATATCAATAATATTAAATAATTTTTTTTCAGGTACTTGAAGTGAAAAATGGATTTTTCTAGGAGTTGCTGTTAGATCTTTAAACAGAGTCCAAATATAATATTTGAGGAGGCTGCACTTTTTATTTGAAGTTATGAATTACCCAAAAGAAAAATTACTATTAAACTATAAAAATAATTAAGCAAACACTATCAATCAACTTACTATCTCTTGATCCCTTTACTTTTAATCACTAATATATTATTCCTTGATTTCTTCACTTTAAGAGATCATTCCTTATTACTAATTGCCACGTCATTTATAACATTAGTAAATAATAATAAAAAGTAAAAAAAAACTCACTATTTCTTGATCCCTCTGTTATCAAGTGGCCGTTTCTCATTACTAGTTGCCATTACACCATTTAATTATAAGTAAATAATGTTAGTGATAAATAAAAAAAGTAAAAAAAAAAATTACTTTGTTCAACATTACAACATTAGTAATAAAATAAAGTAAAAAAAAGTCCTACTTTGTTCAACATTACGCTTATTACTTTGTAATTCTGACTACCAAGAACATGCTGCCAGCAGCATTAAAAGAAACAGCTCCTAACTAACGTTGCATAACAATATTCTCAAGACATTAGTAATTTTGTAGGTACGGACGAGTCAAAAAGGTTGTTTGATGTTTATCATACTTTATATATTACCGTTACATACAGTATTGCACACTCCGATTTATATTACATATTGCACACTCGGGATCTCCGACTACGGCGGCGGATCGCCATTCGAAATGGATACCAGCCACATATGTCACGTGGGTACAACGCTTTAACGGTTCCCCAAATTCGGTATATTATTTAACATCCAATCATCTTCGATGGTCATGAGACTGCCTTTTTTAAACTTACCCAATGAAATATGATGGCTTGTGTGGCTCATAATCACGGGTCTGCCGATTATTTTCGGCACCACTAAGTTATTAATCAGTGATTATAAGTCACCAGCAAGAACCTACCTCATGATGATAGTACAATTTATATAAAGGGTACCCATAGCAGTGTTTATCTCGTTCAACGTATTTTTGAAGGGCAAGTTTCTCACCCATTAAAGAGAAAATGTCCGAATGTTTATCTTGACACTGCCTTTAGCGATTGCTGATTGATATTTATATTAAATACAAACAAATCTCATTGAATCTTAATAATCTGAGTTTTTGTATTTTTACTATTTTTACCGATACGATTCTCGTGGAATGAACTCAAAACGTTAATGGATGCCAATCTATTTCGTAGCAAATTTAAGGAGCAAACAGATTGGAGAAGAGTAGCTGAATGTACTAATGTAAAAGATAAACTTAAGGTATTCTAAATGATTTATGATATAGTTAATGTAAACTTAAGCTATTGATATCTGATTACCAACTCTTTTATCTATAAGAACGGAGGAACACCAGTGCATGAACGTCTTTTTGGGAAATTATGTGATATAAATATACCGTATATCTCCGAATATAAGCAACCCCCGAATATAAGCAACCACCTCTTTTTAAGACCTGAGGTTCTGAAAATATTATATATGAAACATAATAAATTTATACTCGAATATAAGCAACCCCCCCCCCCCTTTTGCCCTGCCAAAACCTTGCATTTTTTGGTTGCTTATATTCGGAGATGTACGGTAAACTATTTGACTTGTGATGATCCTTTATCTAAGCGACAAAATAGTAAGAACTTGTTAAATTTAAATTAAATAAATTCGAGTCGAAATTTAAAAGATCTATTTTGTTTTAGATTCGTCAAATGGATCCGATAATAAATTCACCAATGATACTTCGTCAAATAAATTCGCTAATAAATCCAGTAATGATGATTCGTCAAATGGCTTCGATAATAAATCCATCGATGATGCTTCGTCAAATGAATCCGCTAATAAATCCAGCAATGATGATTCGTCAAATGGCTTCGATAATAAATCCACCGATGATGCTTCGTCAAATGAATCCGCTAATAAATCCAGCAATGATGATTCGTCAAATGGCTTCGATAATAGATCCACCAATGATTCTGAGAAGTCGTTCCAAACAACGAAACTTTCCGATGAAGTGAGTAATGACAACGGTAAATTTTTAAACTTTGTATATCTTTATCATAATATAATTTAAACTAATTTCATCTCTAAATGGCTTTTAAAGGATTACAGAATGAATAATCATACATATATAAAGAAATTCAAGAAGCTGTAAAAGAAATTAACGATCCTTTGTGGAAAAAAAATCAAAAGCGATATATTTTTGCAAAATTATATGCTCAGAGCCAAGATTCGAATTCATCAAACAATGCAATTTCAGAGATTTTTTTCGATAAGACTAAAAATCTTTCCACATTAACAAAAAAAATTTATGAATCCTGAAACCGAAACGGATGGAATTATAAAAAAATTCCTTAATGTCGTAAATGTCATAATAGGTGATCTAACAACAAATGACGCTTACGAGATAATGCAAAATGTTACTAAACGAGAAAAAGAGACATCTGATAATGCTTTTATCAGAGAACTTATTAAAGATGAAAAGATATTAACAGCATTTTTTGAAAAGTATGAGAATTGGAGGAAAAATACATTCATCCCCGAATCAAAAAGTATTTCGAAGAAAATTTCAAGCAATAACAAAGGAACAAGATCTCAAAGCTGAACATGTGAAAAGAATTTGTGCCGAAATTGAGTCGAAATATCCAAATGGAGAACTTCTTAGGGTTTTAGATCTGGAAGAAAGAAGTAACTTAAGTTATATTTTGACTATAATGTATCTCACAAGAAAATTTATCGTTATATGTTTACCAAGTGCCCTTCAGTACGACTTATAAAATGTTTCGTGAGATTGATAAAACCCATCCAGAACGGTTGCAAATTACACTTTTTCAAACTCAATTGGACCAGCAAGATACATTAGAGCTGGAAAAAAATGAATTTTATATCCCACATCCGATTACGGAAGAATTTCATTTGAAATTGATCCTGAGATCTTTGAGTTCAAGTTAGTATTTCCAATAACGATTGCTTTATTAGTCACAACTCTAATATTTTAGTTATTAGGTGTATCGCACAAGTAGGGAAAAGATTCTTAGTGTTTTTATGGAACAAAAACGTCAAAAGGCTAGAAATATACTTTGATGTTATTAATCGGTTGGCAAGAACAATATCCGAACAAAACGCCGCAAAAAAATTCTTTCAAGTGAACACTTTATGATTACGGTTAATGAACTGAAAGGATTGATAGGAATCTATAATAATGAAAAAGCCGTGGTAAGGAACGTTATATCGTTATTTATTTAATAAATCATTAATTGTCGATACTGATATTATTTTTTAGTTGAACACTTTACAGCTTTGAACAAGATCAAACCAGTTTATCTCTTCATTATCGTAATATTCAGCTCTGTCAATGTATAATTATACGGTGCCGGATATCGCTCATTTCTTTTTTATAAAGAATACAGAGGATATATGCTTTGTTGAAAGAGATGTTCACGCTCGTATTTATAGTTTAGCGAATGATATCTTTCGTCCAGGGATCGCACAAATTCCTCCTAATGCTACAAGTGTTCGTAGTACCCCGGATGGCACATGCATCGTAGCCTTTGTTAAAGAAGTAATAAAAGAAGAAATCGAAACTATGATGTCGGATAATTGTGAGAATAATAAAGAGGAAATAAAAGAAGAGATCGGAATACAACATAAAACAAAGAGAATATAGAGATTATAGAAGAAAAGGGCGAAATTATTACAGTAAATGAACTCGATAAAACTTTTGAGAACAATTCTGTATTGCAAGGTAAAATGATTCTGTAATGGGGGACGCTTGTCAGAATATATTTTATTAGTTAATTAACTATAGTCTGTACTTTATAACAGAAAAACAACTACTTCGAGGTTATGTATATTTTTGTGAAAATTTCAGCCGACATGCCAGTAAAATTGTTGATATTCCTTTCAGTAAATCTTCCGAAATATTTCAATTTTCGATGTTTGATAATAGACAAATGCATTTAATTACAATTGATCAAGAAAAAGGCACTTTTAATTCAGCTATAGCAAGAATTACACACGCAAAACACAATACCGTTTCGAAAGACAGTCACAGCAAAGATCATCCGGTAAAGTTCAAGTAAAAAGTCAACAACCGTTTGTCGTCATTGGAAATGAGACACACTTTACGCGTGATATTTATATTGGGGATTCGATAGAGATTAGAATGAAAAAAAGCGAGTAATCGAAATAATGACAGATACGGTATTAAAGGTTTCGGATCAATTCGTTAACATCAAATATGGAGTTTGGGAAGGATTTACCATTGCAAAACGAACAACTGTAAATGGACTTCTTGAGATTTATTCAATAGTATTCACAAAATACGCGATAACAAGTCCTATCGGCCGCGTAGATAATCCATTATCGCTCACAGTCGTAGTAGATAACTCCAATGAAAATTTAGAAATAAATAAATACACAGTTAAAGTTAAAAAATATATCGATTAAAATGCTTGAAAAGTTTAAAAAAGAAACCAAGAAACCACTTGGATATTTTAGCACCAGATTCGCAACATTTCAAAACGTTAAGGAGGCATGCACTACCTACCAATTTGGCAAGTGAGTAAATTTCTATTGATGTAATCAAAGGCAACGATGCATAACTTATTACTAAATTTTAAATATTTCATAATATAGATGGATGATCAATTTATTTTGTCTAATTCCGTTGCAAATTGCTGTAGCACGCGATAATGAATTTATTCCTCTTCGAGATGGTCGATTTTCTCCCGAAATAGAAAAACCTTCGCTAGACGAAGGTTTTGGATTCATTGGAAATGTTAGCAAAGCTATTTCTTTTGGATGGTATGAGGCTATTTTCGAGCATCATGCCCATTTGGAGGTTAAAGTCATTTCTTCAATGTTTCAACGATTTCAAGATGGCACCAATTATTTCGGAGATGATCCCGACATATTTCAGGTTGAAAAAGCAAATTTTTTTATTGGATAATTCAATCAATTATTAATGTTGCTGTTTTTCTGTAATATGAAGGTGAGATTTTACATTATAATCAAAGATGTAGCAAAATCTGATCGTGAGGATTTTGTTGCAGAATTTCATTCAAAATTTTCGAGAATAGTCGACAGAGTGAGTTTTTAAATAATATAACAATTTTAGGAGCCTTAATAATCTTTCTCACTTGTTAATTAACCTGCAGGAGGAAGAAGATAACTTTATTACAAAGCTTTATCGAAACAAGATGAGCATTATCCCTTGGCCAGTTTTCAATGAAACATCCTTTTATACAACTTTCAAACAACTAAAATTAGACGAGCAAGATTCTAAATATAAAAATGCAAAATCATTTGTGGAGAAAATAAAGGTATGGAATATGTGTTGCTTTCTTGTATACGAATCTTCCTGATTTTTATTTCTTCATTTTAATGACGAAACTTTAATAATGCGTTTTTTATTCTTTTGATGCTAATTTTTGAACTGAAATTAATTCATCTTAATCGTTTTCTATAGAGTTTGTGACTGGGGAAGCATTCAAGGAACATTGATTACAATGCGTACATTGGAATTGAAGAAGTTCACGAAAAATGCTATATCTCAAGGCTTTGAACAAAAGAAGAAGATCCATTTTTATCATCAGAAGAAATAACACAACCAATATATGATATAAAACATTTAGTGGTAAATTACTTTTAATGGTAAAATATATTTTATTCAACGAATAACGAGTAAATATATCATAGGGACGGGATGATGGAAATTCAATACCTGATCCTGAAATAGCTTTATCAGATATTTTTGAAGACACTGACGAACCAATAAAATTAATGCATGATACTGGACTAGTTTTGTTAAAAGATGGTGTCAATCTTGTTGATCTCTCATTAGGCATGTACATCAATACTGGATTTAAATTCATTAAAATTTGACTAAAATTTTTAATATACTGTTTTTTTAGAACTAAGAAATTTCTTTGAAGCAAATATACAAAATCGTGACCAATCCTCGGATTCTCAATGGTTTGATCGTCTAGCGATATTTTGCGAGTTTATCGTTGATCGACAGGTTAATTGCGTGCGAAAGTGGTTTTCTCAGAATACTTCTCGATTTCCAGAAGATAATAATGAAGTTCTCATTGCAAAGTATGCTTTAAAACAAGAAATTACGTGTCTCAAGTTGTTTTGGAATTTCTGTTGTCGACGTTGTGAGAATTGTAGCCTCGGATGTCTTAAAACGAGTCGACATAATGATAATGAGGAAGATGCGACACACGATTGCTTGACAGATCATCAATGCCATTCAGTTTGCCAATTTCAAGAAATGCATGTTGATGATGAAATTATGCCAAATGTTCAAAATTTGGTGGACATGAAGGACGTCACGCTTGTTCGGCAAATCATTCATGTGGAGCGCCTCGCATATATAGTGGGAAAAGAAATTGTCAATCAAAATGCACAAAGGATATTGGTCATGAAACTATGACAGGGAATGAGATTCATTTATGTGAAGCAACCTGGCATTATTGTGGTGCTCCGTGTTCATTAAATGCTAACACTCAAAAAGGAAGTTATGAGTGTCATAATACATGCATAGTGAGTTGATATCTTTTGAATATTTATAATATGTACCTATTATAATCTTCAATTTTTGAGTAGATTCCTTGTGAAGATTCTCATGAAGTGCATAAATGCGAGAACGAAGTTTGTCCAATCGAATGTCCGATAGTTACATGTCGTCAAAGATGCACAAGCCGCGAACATTTTCATGCACTAGAGAAAAACGTAGTTCACCTTTGCGGGTCTGTAATTTCATTTAATATTATCTTTTTATGAATGTATCTAATCTATAATATTAAATTTAGTGAAGATTATCAGTGCCCTAAGGAATGTGAATTTGTAAAATTGTCACTGAACCAACCGCAATGGTAAAGGAAGAAGCAAAATATGTGAATAAATTTGGTAACTTTATGTTTACGAAAGTATAATCATATTTCCTTTTTGATAAAATTCCTTTAAATATAAATAATCATATACTAAACATTCCATTAAAATATTTTAGTATTACCAAAATTTCAAAAGACTTCCATTTATGAAGGAAAACATGTTCATGAAGCTAAGAAAGTGCACGAATGTGATGACACCTGCCCGAACGATTTATTCGAACATATTAAAGAAAATTCAAGTTTTCACTTTTGCCTATTATGTTAGCTTCTATTCATAACATCTTGGCATTATTTCAGGCATTATATTTTTACTAGTTTTATCTAGTGCACATTGCCTTATGATCACGGAAGAGAACATAATAGCGAACATGGTAAAAAAAAACGCGAAAAATTTTGATCAATTCTTTATTATACTTAATTATATTACTTTTTAGAAACTGTTCACGGAAATATGGTCTTGACAACATTTACTTGCGATGAAGAAGAATTCGAATTTGAGGGTGAATATTTTATTTGTTTACCTTTTTCTAACGATAATAATAAGAATGAATAATTTCGGTTAGGTCATCAATTGACTGCCGGAGATAGAGGCGATTTTGTGCTTTGTCATAAAGTATGTATATTAAAGAATTTTTTTTAAAAAAAAACCAATATTAATTTAGGCTTCTAGCTTGTGAAAATATAGGTCGACATCGTCATATCGATTATTGCAAAGATCCAGATGCTTGTACCTCAGGTGGAAAAAAAAGGAGGAGTGGAACACATAAAGGGTTTGTTGATTCAGGGTTTCCTTTTTTATTTTGCAATATTTTAACACAAATGAATTTCAGCTAATATAAGCCCTGATCCGAGTCGTGAGAAAGATTATATTTCTCATCGTGTTTTCTGGGAGAGAACTAAATTTCGAGGTAAATGATTAGGTTTTTTGCTTATTAAATCGAATTCGCTATTTGATTTATATTTAATATATGCTATGAATAAGATCCATATTCGAGAGAAGACCGCGAAGATTTCAAAAAATGTGATCATGAATGCATCGATGAAAAACATCATAAAGTGGATGAGTTATCCGGAAAAGATCCAATAAAATCATTTGTACTCAGGAATTATTTCATATTGGATTAAATCCAAGCTCAAATCCCCCAGGAAATGTTGGATATATTTCAACAGATGGTCATCACTTTACTTGCGAAAACCCTACGTCTAACGTTGGCGATTTTCATATTGTATTCGTAGTTGATAGAAGTGGCTCTATGAGCATCCGTGATTGCCGACCTCGTGGTGATAAAACACAAACCGCTCGTTTATTACTTAGTCATAATAATCGACTAGGTGCTGTTTATGAAGCAGTATATACTTTTATCGAAACGCGTAAAAATCTCGAAAAGCAACTCGCGTCGGTCTGACAGCTATAGATCGTGATATAACTTCGCTGATTTTATTTGATTATGTGGCAATTGTAGTTTTTGAAAATCAAAGCTTAACTGATTCAGACGAGCTTTTAAACAAGATGAAAAATTTCACGCCGCAGGGTGATAATTATTATCATGAAGGAATAAAAAAAGCAGACGAAATAATTCAAAAGTATTATGATTAAAAAAAAAGTAAGTTCAGTATTGAACCTTATTTATAATGATTTTCGCAGTGAACTAAAATCTAATTTTACACAGAACCAACATAATTATCTTTTTTTCTGATGAAGAATATCATCCACCGGAACCTGAACTTCGAAGTCTTTGTCAAAAAGAGGCTGATAAAGGGTAAATGTAGCATATATATATATTGTATAATCACGTATAACTAATAAATCCTAAAACACTTCTTTTTAGGACTCTTTATATTTGTATACAATTATGTTCACCGGTAGTTTTACTCATACTTCTTATGGCCAATCGCTTCAAAAAATGGCGGATGTCGCAACAGGATATCTACCTCGATCTACTAGCTGAGATGCCTTAAAATGTCAATGTGTGCTTGCAATGGACGAAATCAAGCTTACGGAGCATTTTACTCAAGTAGCCGAAAGTTTGCGTAGACATAAACCAATTCTAATGAGGAAATAATTTTCTTAAAGAGTTAATTCTTTAAAAAACTATTAACTAAAAAGGAAAAAATAGCATTATCGCCGAAAGAGAGATATGCCGAACCGTGGCTAGAAGAAAAGATAAATAGTGAAATAGAAAAAATCCTTTTAACTTATCATCCGTGAGGAACAAAAGAAAAAAAGTTGAATTATCAACTAATCGCATCAAATGTATTTATGTATATACTTTACTTATTAATAAAAGATAAAATTTTTGTTTAATGAGTTTTAAGATATTCTGGATTGTATTTTTCAAATAAATAGATTTACTTAGGTAATGAAAAATAGTATGTACAATTTGGATTACTAATCTTATTTCTTTCAAAATGCTTATAGAACTTTTTTAAGTGATTTGAATTATTATTAATATCAGGTTATTTTTAAGAGCTAATAGATCTAAGCTTTTAATCTTGTTTTAATATTATTTAATTAATTATAATTTGCAAAATTAAATAAATAAAAGATTTTATAAAACATTCAATAATTAATAAAATAAAGTTAATTTTGTAAAGTATTTCAACTAATTTAATATTTAAGTTATAAAAGATTATAAATGAGTTATTTTTTAATTAAAATTAAATGCAAAAGTTATTAATAAAAATAAAAAGTTAACTTATTTGAAAAATATATAAAATATTAATTTGATATTTTATTTAATAATATTTTATAAAATTCTAATAATTTTCAAAGTATATTAGAATACTTTACTAATTAATAAGATATTTTGAAAGATTAAAATTTTATTAAATTTTTTACAAAAAATTATTGAATAATATAAAAAATTAAGAATTATTTTTTATATTATTCTTTATAAAATATTATAAAAATTTATTATATTTAATTTGGATATTTAAAATAAAAAATATTAATAGAAATATAATTATATATCAAAATAAAAAAGATAAAACTAATCTAAAACTTTTTTTTATTAAATAATTTTAATTTTAAAACTTGATTTAATATTTTTAAATTTAGAAAAACTTTAATAAATTAAATCTAAAAAGTTAATTAATAATAATTAATTTAATAATTAAGTAATTAAAATTAAAATAATTTAAATGAATATTTTTATTTAAAATATTAAATAATTATTATTCAAAAAAATATTTTGTAAATAATATTTAAAATTATTTTTTTATATAATTTAATAGAATTTAAAATTTATATAATTATAATTTTAAATAATTATTATATTATTATAATATGAATTTTAATAGAATATTAATTAATTATTTATTAATCACTTCATATTATAATATAATTAGATGATTAATTACTTATATATTATTAAATATTAGTTATAAAGAATATTATTTGTAAATATTTTTAGATAATTTTATAGATATAATGATTATGATAAAATTATTATAGCAAAGTTAGTAAAATTATTATAGTAAAACTAGTAATATTATCATAATAAAACTAATATTATAATACTAGCTAAAGTAATATTTAGATTATAATAAAAGTAATATAAATATTATAATAAAAGTATTGTTATAGTAAATTAATAAGTGGATTTTCACTTGAATTTATCTTAATAATATAGAATTAGAAGAGATTGAAATAATTAAAGGATAAAAAGAGAGAAATTAAACTATACTTTTTTTTAATAATAATAAAGATTTCTAAGATCTGTACTAATATCTACAGATATTATCTTTTAAAGAGTAAAATAAATAAATAAATAAATAAATCATTGAAATTATAAAGATTAGCTTAGTAAAGTTACTAATAATTGATATAATTCAAAATTTGAAGTGATTAAATAGTAAAACTACTATTAATTAAGAAGGTTATGATTAAAAAAAAGATAAAAACTAAAATATGAAAACTAAATAACTAAATAAAAATAAGAAATAACTTATTTATAGTAGAAATCTTCTATTCTTAAAAATAATAAAACAAAAAGTATAACTTATTTATAATAGAGATCTTTTACTCTCAAAACAATATCAAAAATCAAAAATTAATATAATATTATAATCCAAAAATCCAAAATTAACTTTA